GAGGGGAGGGCTGCAGGGAAGAGGAGGGGGCCCTGGGGCGTTGAAGGTGCGAAGTGATTTTATTTTCCTTTTTTTTTTCTTTTATCTGTTCGCTGTATGTTTCTCTGTGTGTGTGTGTGTGTGTGTGTGTGTGTGTGTGTGTGTGTGTGAGAGAGAGAGAGAGAGAGAGTTTGCATTCGTCGGTTGCCTCCACCTTTTTACTGCATCACCTGTCGCGAAGTAGCAACAGGTCATCTAGTGCGGAATAATATACACAGATAAATTGAGAGAAGAATATAGATTAGTTGAAAAAAAAAAAAAAAGCACATCAGGCATTCCCCCAACATAACACCCCCCCACGTGGCCCTTCCGGACCCAAAACCTCGCTTGTATACATTTGACATTTTCAGACCTTTTGCCTGAAGTGCATTTTCAAACTCAACCTTTGACTGCGGCGTAGTTTTCTCTTTTGTTTCTTGGCCACAGATCAGGTATTAAACTGGATCAGAACAGATGCTACACTTGATCTTAGCCGAAATGCCGGGAAAGCGCTTGGATTTAGGCCCTTCTTCCGCGAGGACCCTCCTCCTTAACAAAAGGAAGAGGGATAGGCAAAGGAGATTTTGCCCGGCCCTGGAATTACATTCAGAGGCATTTTGCCCGGCCCTGGAATTACATTTAGAGGCGTTTTGCCCAGCACTGGAATTACATTCAGAGGCATTTTGCCCGGCCCTGGAATTACATTCACTGCATTGTTGGGGTGAGAAGGTGTATGTTCTGCACCGATAAGTTGAAAACGTCCAAGTTCAGAGCGACCGAGGTGTATGTTCTGCACGGAGAAGTGCAAAAGTATGGAGAAGTGCGAAAGTCGAAGTTCACAGCACCTGAACTTTTCTTGTTACCAGGAACGCATCATGGAAGTCATCTAATAAAAATTCGAGCTGAAAAAAAAAACAGTGGAGCTGGAAAAAAAAAAAAAAAGTGAAAATGAAAGTGAACGAGGGTTATTTTGCCACTTGCCACATATGA